ATACCTAATAAGATACTTGCAGGCATTTCGATATCATTAGATATGGACAACTTTGAAGATCCGACCAGTCATTTTGCTTTAGAAAAGATGGTAGGGAAAAGCATAGTGATTAGTCGGTGATTTCGAATATTAATCAGCGGTTTCTACAGAATTATCATCGTACAGCTACTAAATTCAACTCTCCAAAAAAAACTCAAGTCTCTTTTCGATGAAATATAACCCATTTTGTCACATCTACGAGAAAAACCAGATTTCTCAGAGTTTTACTGGACTTTTTTTGTACTATTCGCTTATTAAACTCAGCCTAAGCACATTAAAAGTTTGAATAAGTCGTTTTCAACAATAACTGTCATCTGATCAAAATTACCGGAAAAAACATTCTCCTTAAATTTCAGGGAGAAAAGTTTATTTTATTTTCTATTTCTATTCTTGTCAAGTCATTGCGTTTCCATTGATTTTAATTTGGTTCGATAATGACTTCCCAAGCAGGAAGTGCGGTGGCGTGAGCACAGTGTGCTTGTTAGGCAGACATGACCGGATAAGCACAGCAACTCAACTCGCTTAGGGGTGTCCTTTGAGCAGGACCCCGTTCACAACCTCATTTTTATTTAGTCATTTTTTCAGATGGGTTCCTGCCCGTCCAATCAGTGCTTCATCGAGAAGAAACCAACGGAAGAACGAGGCGTTTTTCGAATAACAAAAGGTTAGTTGCAAGTGGCAAGTGTCCTTGAACTGTGCTCTGCTGGGATTTGCAAGAGATAGCAATTCATCTCCCAAACGATTTGTTGCGCTTCCGGTAAAAGAGAAGCGGCAGACGGCTATTGCAACCTACCCTGACAGTTGCTGTTTGTTTGGAGTGTGCGCGAGATGAGTGAGTAATGACCAATGCGCGGTGCTATGACAATGCAGATTACAACGCTGTGATCGTTGGCCAGGTCGTGTGCATTAAACCCAAACAAGAACGGGGTTTAAAGTGGATTAAGGGCAAGGTGTAGAAGATGGAATAGACATAAAATCATGTGACGTTCTTTCCTAAGGGATACATGTTGAGAAACATTTTAAGAACTATTGTATCTGTAACAAGATCTTAAGGTAGGCGAACATAGGAATATAAGAAAAAATTTCAATTTGTATAATCGAATAGTTCAAAAGTAAAATTTTTCCATCATAATTTTCCAGTAATTCGAAAATCAAATTTTTTAAATAGCGAATAATCAAACTTACGAAACTTTTCATTTTCTGTACTCGAACTTTTGAATTATTTGAAAATCGGAACTAGTAGTTTACCTCTCGTAAACACATCTA